ACATAATATGTGTGTGTATACTGTGTATATTTATGTATATATAAATACACACATGCATTATGTTTAAACATGAAATATATTTGTATATAACATAAATTAAATGAATATAAATATATACATGTAAACATTAAACACTTTCTTTCTTTGTTTTCGGTTTAAGAGATGAAGTCGGCGACACTGACTCGTCATCTCCACAGTAGTGATGCGCCTGTACGCATGTTTCATACGGATTACATAATTGGAGAATATTTGTTTTCCATTTGAATTGGTTCATTTGAAAGTAGACATTTCACTCTCTATAGATTTATTTTTAATGTCTGTAAGGCAAAGATATACATGGAGTTTCGCGCTCAAGTTCACAGACCGAGATGGCAGAAAGCGCATCCGTTTTGCTTTCATTATTTTACAAAAGCGCGTTTTGCTGTTATTGTGAGTGCACACAAATAAACGTAGAGTCTTTGCAGATTTGAAAGATGTATTACTCTTATCTGTATGACCAAAAATTACGGAGTATTTTAAGAGTAAGTGAGCGCACCGGCGCCTCCATCTGTCTGCAGTGAGCTACTGTTCAGCTTCCACACAGACACTTGAATAGCGGACATTTCTCTAGGTTAACGTTAGATTGAGCGGCCATGTAAAGTTGCTAATACTTACATATTTCAGATGATAAGCCATATTTGTTGTGGATGAATGATAGGCGAGCGGTTTGGCTGTCCTGCCGGATGTACTGTATTACCATAGACCAGCCGTTAACGATCTGCGTGACTTCGCCAATGTGGATTTTTTTTCTGCGACTAATAAAATTTTGGTCGACCAAGCCACTTCTCGTCGACTAACAATTAGTCGACTATTAGGGGGTAGCCCTAGTTAGTATAAAGCATGGCGTATCCTATTGCCAACAGGTGGCGCTATGATTATAACTGAATATTGGCCTTTGGATTTGGTGCAGATTGGACATTGCATGTTTAAGTTAGTGTAAAACAAGCCATTTCCTGTTGCCAGCAAGTGGCGCTATGCTTATAATGGAATATTAGCCTTTAGATGTGTTCAGGTCAGGACTCTTATTGAACATGTGAAGTCTGGGGCAGATCGGACATTGTATGGCTGAGTAACAACAACTTCTATTCCCATGGAGAGACAACGAACTTAGTTACGCCGCCATGGACATGCCCTTTAACGAAAACTCAAGATCTTTGCAATTTAACATCACAAAGGCCTTTAGATTTGACTGACCAAATATAATTTTCCTGTCATTAAATCTCTAGGAGGAGTTTGTTACAGAGTAAAACATGTCACTTCCTGTTGCCAGCAGGTGGCGCTATGACTATAACTCTAGATCTCTTCAGGAAAGGAGTCTTATCAAACATGTGAAGTTTGGGGAAGATCGGACATTGTACGGCTGAGTTATAACAACTTCCTGTTTCATGGCGAAACATCAAAATTTGTCAGGCCGCCACGGACACGCCCTTCAACGAAAACTCAAGATCTTCGCAATTTAACATCACAAAGGACTTTAGATTACACTGACCAAATTTGGTGTTGATCTGAATTAATCTCTAGGAGGAATTCATTAAAATACAATGCTTGAAAATGACAAAAAAAGCACAAAATTTGCAGAGATAATTGAAAATAACTGACTTCCTGTTTGGTTTCGGATTTTGCACCAAGAGACTTTTTGTAGGTATTGTTGTGTTACATGTGTGTACCGATTTTCGTACATGTACGTGAAACATAGCGGGAGGGGCACTTCATTGAAAGTAAATAGGTGACGCTATCGAGACATTTTGCCACACCCACTTCTGAAACCCATATCAGACTTACATTTTTGCCAGTTCTGATGCATGTGTAAAGTTTCGTGAGTTTTCAAGCATGTTTAGGCCCTCAAAAATGCGATTCAAAATCTGAGCAATTCCAATAGGGTCCTCGCACCACCGGTGCTCGGGCCCTAATTATAAAATAATTTAAACTCAAATCACTATATAACATTCACATATTTATTTATTTATTTGGTGAGTAACCAGTCACATTATCCTTCATGCCTTATTTTGCTACCTAATTATGCATGATTATATGGTTAGTTGTGTTTTTAACAACATTTCTCTTGAGAACTGCAAAATTACATAATTATTTTGTTTTGTATAGAGCTATAATGGAATTATATATACATTATAACATTTTACAAACTGTAGATGAATAAACTACACTCATGGAATGGAGTTGTACGATATGTGCATTTTTTTTGTCTTTTAAGTAGCCTGATACCATTTTTTATTGGTTTAAGCTGTCTCAGCTGTGCTATACATGGTAAAAGTATGGTAAATTTATGGTAAATTTATTCTCTTCCCACAGGGAGATAATAAGGTTCCAGCTGTACCTGCTTCTAAAGCATCTCCGAAGGGAGCAACGGGCGGAGATGCTTCTTTAGACCCTGATGCCCCGGAGGCCCTGCTTCCAGACTCAGATGAGGAATACATGGTGGTTGAGGAGGCAGAATCATCTACTGCTGCCAAACTAAAGAAGACCGGCCTGAAGGGCATCGAAAGCCTGAAGCAGACCTTCTCCCGTGAGAACATGACCAAGACCAAAGAGAATCTGGGCACCAAGGTCAACAAGCTGGGTGAGCGCATAGTAACGGCCGAACGGCGTGAGAAAATCCGCCAGTCTGGCGAGCGTTTCAAGGAAACCATCACGAAAACCGTGCCAGCAAAACTCAACCTGAAGAAGGAAAGGACGGTGGCTGAAGGTCGGGAAGGAGCAGAAGGGACCACGGAAGGAACGGCACCCGTCCCACCACCGAAGGGCCGCAAGGCCAGCCCTGGCGTGGCCTACACGGAGCCAACGGAGAAACAAGAAGGTCCAGATGAGGGCAAGGGCGAGGAATCAGAAGTGCCGATGTATGATATGAAGCAGCTTTCTTAAGCGGCAAGTCTTGACAGTCAGCTTTGGGAAAGACTCATGTACAGATATGAATTAGATTATGGAGAACTTGAAGGTGGAAAGATTGGGAAGATGAGAGATCTTGCTTCCAAGTGTGTGGATAAGTGGATGGTTCAAACGACAACTGAATGAACGAATTAAGGAAGTTGTACATTACAAAGAATATCCTAGTTTCTTTTTTTTTTTCTTGTTTACATCTGTTATGGACTATGAAGGGTTATAAACTGTGTTAAACTATGTACTGAGATGACTAGGCTATGGTTTTTAATATAAATTCAGCCAAAAAAATGGTGCACTCAGTGATTTTCTTTGTCTTTATACTGCCACCTATGGGAGTGGATGCAGCATCATGAAAAATCAAGGTAGCGTAGTAGATCCACTACATGTAGAGTAAAACAGATTTTTTGATGTCTAAAAATTGTTGAGGAAAAATGACTGAGTGCACCTTTTATGGATTGACATTATTTGTTAGGTGTGTGTACAAATATTTTTAAGAAATTTCTTTGAATAGCTGAATTTACAAATAATTCGCAGAGAAGTAGATTTTGGACTTTCTCTGGAGAACTTTAAATATATTCTGGTGTCAACTGACATCCAGCATGTCAACAGTGGATGAGTTAAGAATTAAATTTTTCAATTTAGATGTAGTGGTTTTTGGAATATGACTAAATGTGCAGAAAAGACATTTGTAAACAATATTTTTTTCTGTGCCTTTCTGTGTAAACTCTGAAAAACAACTTTTGCAGTCTAACCTTGGTGATGAAACCACCATTCAGTTGTAGTATTTTTAAATAAACATATTAACTCAATCAGCTGGTTTCTGAAGAGTTTCTGGGAAAAATGCATTTAGTGTATTAGTAATCAAGACTGATTATAGAGCTTTGCAATCAGTCTGATTTTGAAGGATCACAGTAGTAAAAGAAAGTGTTGCTGAATGGCAATTTTTTATTTCCTATTATGCAGTTTTCCAAACTTTTTTATTGGGGGATGGAGAAAATCATCAACGTTTTAATGATAAAAAGCATGGACTAGCACCATGAGATTGTCTTTACACTGTTTTAGTCACACTTTAAACTTTATGATATGCATGAAACGTGCATGTGTGAATAAAGAACATTTCACTCAAGAACACTAGTTGTAATGAAACAATGATGTTTCTTATATTTTATTTTTCGTCATATATACACAGTTTGGACACTGCTGCTATAATGTGAATTAACATAAATGCATTGCAAAAATAGCAATCCCAGATAGACTACTATAGGGGCATTTCTGAATAGTTCAAGGAAAACTGCTACATTCAGCAGCATGTTTGTGCAAATCATTGTGTATATTTAAACTCCAATAAAATCTCTTCCATCTTATGTGAAAATTCAAGTGTGCATCCAATTTCAACACACTAAAGCAGAATGGCAAAATAATAGTCACAAGATATAAAACACAAGTGTCAGAACATTACAAATGTAAAATAACAAGAATAGTCATATTATAGATAAATTGAAAGTTTGTGAGTAAAAAAAAAAAAAAGTTTCCTGTTTTGATTTTTTGATTTGTGTGTGTATATATATATATATATATATATTTTATTTTTATTTTTTTTTAAATCAAGCTTCTTGAGTGAAAATAGCTCTGGACTACATTATGAGTTTATTTACAGTCACAGAGCAAAGCGACTCCCCTCAGCGTCCAGTGGTCTGGGTTCTGGCTGCTCCGGAGCAACAGTGAAAAGATGTATGTCAGGTCAGTTCTTCTTGGTTTCTTGTACACTGGGCAAGAGTAGAGATTAATGGGAGGCTTCTTGGTTTCTGTGGTGCTGCTCACCGCAAACACATGCACAACCGGCAATGGTGTGAAGAGAACCTACCAAACAACATAATACATATATCATGACTTTGCAAACAACGACAGTCATACATGACAGATTAGTTGACTTGGTTTGGAAGATGCCTGAATGTTAGCACTGCATAATGGGATGTGCTTCTGTAAAAATGTTTTATTTTTTTTACGGGTATAATAGACAAATTAATTGTAAAGAACTACACCCAAAATTCTGAATCAGGCAGAGAATTTTATATTGGACTGTTATCTTTTTGTATATTATGTAATTTGCAGTGCTTCTCAGTCTGTCTAGACTCTAGATCATAAAAGATTTTAACAAATGGGAAAAATACCATTTTTAATACCAGTAAGCGAATGCATTCAAACAATCCGTCCAAAACAGCGGTAATATAAAGGAAACCAGGCTGATTACATCAGAGATTGCAGAGAGAACAGAGACTCGCATTGAGTTTTCAGTGAATTATTCATTCCAGTGTGTTTCGCTTTAAAACACGAGCTTTGTCATATTCTGTGATTGTCTCTGACGAGCGCGAGCCCTCACACGTGCTGTGTGAAGTACAGACTGAACGGATTGTCAACGCATCCCACCGCTGTATGGCCAGATGAGACGCAAACTACGGTTTCTCGACTTGACAACCAGTCTCGCTAGTAAAGTTTTGATGGATGAAGACTGCAATCAAGGTAAAGACGATACAGGAGTACAGGAGTCGTACAGTAAGCACGCGTGAGTCCGTTATATTAATGCGTGTATGAGCACTCTTGACGCACTGATCGCACATTGTATTTATGCACAGGCACAGACATTTCCACACACATTCACGATAATGTTTTGATTTGTCATGTGTATGTTGCTGTGTCATGTGTTAGTTATTCTGAATTGATCCGTGTACTGTAGTAGATATATGCAGTCAGCAGGCGGTTGGTTTAGGGTTTTTTTGGCATCTCCATGTGGTCCTGTTTGGTATCGCAACTTGGCTTCTCTAAAATGTAAAAAAGCTCTTTGCTGTTGCACTGTACACATACTATACAATTCAGAATTTTTTTTTCTTTTGCATTTTTTTTTCTTTCATATGTGCTTATATGGGCTCCTTATATCATTTGGTTCTTTGGTGTCCTTTTGGAGTTTCTAAGTGTCCTTTTTTGGAAAGACATCTAAATTTATCTTGAAAAAAGCTTGCAGAAAATACAGATTTTTGAGAATCGCCCTTCAATCGTTTGCTTTACTTTGCTGAATATAGCAAATGATGACAAAATAAACATTTGAAACAAGATAAATGGTCTATGCTTAATTTCATGAAGTGTGCGATTAATCGCGATTAATCACAGAAAAAGGGTGTGATTAATTAGATTAAAAATTTTAATCTATTGACAGCCCTAGTTTTAGTTAAGTCTAATAACTATTTTCCAACTTGCCCGAATTCCCTAAAGGTAGAGCCTGTCATTTTATTCTTAATATCTAAGTATTTGTTTAAATTATATATTTAAATAATTAAGAAAATATTTCAGAATTTTTCAATAATTGCTCTTAGGATTATTCTTACAAACATCTTTCATAAAATGTAAGAAATAATTTTTCTTAAGAGGATTTTCATGAATATGGTCCCAGGTCTGTTGGTGATGGCCAGTCTTGATTTTGTGTTAACTTCTGAAACAGCCAAACCTATTATCCACAAACTTATGGCCACATATTGTCTTCATTTATCCTTCCCCAGAATACCTTTGGAGATGATTCTGTCAGTTTTGCATTTTTCTTGTCCCATCCAGCACCATCCAGATAGAGGCCATAGATATAGACGCCGCCCACATCTCCTGGCGGGGGGGCTGTGACATCTTCCTTCATCATGCGAGTGACGTCGTTAAGTAGGACGACGGTGTCTAGGGCCCAGCCTTTAGACAGATTCATTCGAGTGGTCTCTTGACGCATCGCAGTTAAGAACCCCTATTATGAAGAACAATACGTTAATAGAGAAACCTGAATCAAATGAAACCCGAACCCGAGTCAAATTAGATAATGGACCCACCTGTGGATTGAAAAACCCTGTGAGCCAAAACTGATGAGGTCGACCACTGAAAGTCCAGTTGTGGAATTGCTGGTTCCTCTCAAGGAGTTCGGTGAACCAGAAACCCAGAGAAGCAGCTTCCCAAGAGATCTTTTGCCAGGACTTTGGAACACGAGCATCATACATGCTGTCCAGAGCGTCGCGGAGATCCTCTGACATTATTATAGTCCCTTTGGGATTATAAACTCATTGTGTTACAATACAAAGCATCTTTTTCTAGACATTTTTGATGATATTGTTAATGTTTCTCTTCTTAATTTTAAAACTATGAATGTGTTTTACTGTACTATGAGTGAATGCATTCAGAACTCACCATCAATGGCAAGTTTAAGGTCGGTGAGGGTAACGCGCACACGACCAATGACACGCTGCATTCTGTCAAGCTCCTGACGAAGGAATATAGTCATGGGCTGGAATGCACCCATTTTTTGTAGGTTACTCCTTACCTGCATAGAGTAATTTGAAAGTTTACAGTCTACATTTAATTAAGACACTAAAGGCTGGAATACACTACACAACTTTTCATATCTGAATAGATTTAAAAAAAAACTGGGCATCATACATTAAATGACTGAGGATCATACACTACCAGACTTTAAAGTCCGATCACAACAAACTCATGCAGAAACGTTTATTGCTAGGAGACATGTAACAAATGAAAACAATGTGTCTTCTAAAATCGGCTGAAAATATCAAACATGTTTGATATCCTCCAACTGGAATGGAATCATAGTCTGAAGCTACAAAATCGGAGTCTGTGACCATCATACACTACGTTATTTTCTATGAAATCTGTCAGTTGAAATCTGACAGTCTGGCAACTAGCGTCAACTTGTCCAAACAGTAAATCGGGGGAAAAGGCGTGAAGTTTATTCCAACCTTAATATGCTTTGAGCCTTAGCCTAATAAAGAAGTGGCCCAATAACTTCATCTTCACCTCGTGTGGCACATAGTCAGCAGGAAGTTTTTCTAGCATCTCATTGGCCATCTTCTGGACAGATGACTCCCTGGTCTCGCCCTCCCCACTGCTGCTGTCTTTGGGTTGGATGTTGAGGATGGTGTTCAGGGTTTCATTAGCCATGTTGGTCTGGTAAGTAATGTCAGCATTGGAATGGAGGCCAAATACCTATTGGATGAAATTTGAATCAACAGGTCATAGGTTCTACGTCACCACCCAGTCGCCCCATCAAACTCCATAGAAAATAATAATTATCTGTATCACCTCAGGTGTATCAACCAATGGCAGAGTATCAATATGCACATGGTAATCCTGCAGCATCTTGGCCTTTGGTATAGTATATCCTTTATAGAAACAGAACTTGTCACCAAACATGTTTTCACTAAACCAGATACAGGCGAAAGTATTGAGCAGGCGTTTGTCCATATCATCCGTGACACGTCCACCATACTGCACCTACAGAACCAATAGTAAAATTACAGAATGTTGTTAAAATTTGGGATTTATCAAAAACAACAACGAAAAAAGCAATGGCAGAATAGTAAAATTACAGAATGTTGTTAAAATTTGGGATTTATCAAAAATAATCAGTCTATACAGTCTATACTGTACCTCTCCTAGCATGTATCGCAGGCAAATCCAGTTCACTCCTCTCTTGATGTCAATATCATCCAAGTGGTTCTGCACAAACTGGACACTGGAGGTGAAATCAGCCTGGTTGAACTCATAGGGAATGTTCCAGCCAAGTGGACCAAATTTGCGTCTCTCCTTTAGAGGGAACATGACAATGGGAACAACAGTTCTTAAATGGCTGTGCTAAAATCTTACTTTTTTATAGAATTTGTTTAAGGGATACTCCACCCCAAAATGAAAACTTTGTCATTAATCACTTACCCCCATGTCGTTCCAAACCCGTAAAAGCTTAGTTCGTCTTCGGAACACAATTTAAGATATTTTGGATGAAAACCGGGAGGCTTGTGACTGTCCCATTGACTGCTTAGTAAATTACACGGTCAAGGTCCAGAAAAGTATGAAAAGCATCGTCAGAATAGTCCATCTGCCATCAGTGGTTAAACCATAACGTTATGAAGCGACAAGAATACTTTTTGTACGCGAAGAAAACAAAAATAACGACTTTATTCAACAATTCGTCTCCTCTGTGTCTCTACGCATCACCGTAGTGCCATTTTGGAGAATATCCGATGAACGCAAGCAGCGTACGCTCTTCTGTGTCAGCCAAAAAGTATTCACGTCGCTTCATAACGTTACGGTTGAACCACTGATGGCAGATGGACTATTCTGACGATGCTTTTCATACTTTTCTGGACCTTGACAGTGTAATTTACTTGGCAGTCAATGGGACAGTCACAAGCCTCCCGGTTTTCATCCAAAATATCTTAAATTGTGTTCCGAAGACGAATGAAGCTTTTTCGGGTTTGGACCGACATGGGGGTAAGTGATTAATGACAAAATGTTCATTTTGGGGTGGAGTGACCCTTTAACAATACAATATATAATATAACGTTTATGTTATTAAATGTCTTATAAATAATATTTATTATATTGTTTTAAATTCTTTTTAGCAGGGTATCTCAATTGGGGCTTTATGAAAATCTAAAAATGTCCAGCTGTCCTGACCTGGACTGTGGTATGGAGGAAGGCCACAGCATAGAAAATAGGCCTCCACTGAGGCATGTTGGAGATCTCCAGCTGTTCCTGGGTCACACTATTGTATGTCCGCTTGAGTCCAGCCTTCACCCCTGCATCGCAGATCATTAACCACACATTATCAGTCTCTGCATGCTTAGCGTTTTATTCCTTTATTTTTATGACATGCTGATGTTGAATGTAAAGAACCAGAAAGATATTCTGATAACATTAATGATAAATCTAGCAAATGAGGAAGTAACAGCAGAATTTTCCACTTCTCTACCTTGCGGAGGCTCATTGGTGAATTTAATTGAAGACTGCAGGAAGTTAATGGGGAATTTAGGGTGCACCTCTGTGGTCACCCATAACCTGAAATTGTCATGGATGCTCTCTGTTGTGGTAACTGTGTCTAAACCTTCATCCAGGAACTCTAATCCCAGATGGCAGTTCTGCAGAAGTAACCAGCCTCCATCAGACATGCTCTGGGCCAGAAGCCTTCTTGAATGTACTTCCTGTCCCTGTCCCATGGAGATTGGCCTGCAAGGAACACCCTGCAAAACAACAAGAAAACTGTTGAGCAACATTTGGATCTCAAAAGTCATCAAACCTTCACATCAAGCGATATTATATTTTAAATGAAACAAGTGACACTGCCAATTAATATGAAGGTGGCACCAGTCTGCACAAATTGTCTGACTGGGGCAACAGTCAAACATACAAATATTTGACTTCAGAATGCCCCAACTGACCAATCAGAATCAAGCATTCTAGAAAAGCGTGTAATAATGAATAATAATTATTCATACCTTCGACCTGGCGAGTCTCTCTATGCTCTCTGTGGGATCAGAACCCATAGACAGGAAGCAGACTAGAGGTATCCTCTTATCACTTTCTGAACACATGGCATCCATATCCAGAATCACTCCCTCTGCATACTTCAACCCCATTGATTCGGCAATGTATTTACGTGCCTATCACAGAATAACAAGGAGCAATTTTCAAATATTCAAATTCCACAAAAATGGCCATTTTTAATACACTTTGTCATTTTAAATACTTGAAAGCATCTGTTGAATTATCAATTAGTTTTATGAATATATTTAGTCTTGTGAATAACACACACACACACGGTTAGTGGTCAAACAGAGGTCAGTGACTTCTTGTCACTGCTTTGAATTAGTCTCAGCAGCTGTTAGAGATAAATGCATTCTGTTATGCTATAAATAATTAATATTGTATGCATGTTAAATTGAATGGTTCTTAATTAAACACAGTATTCAAAGTAGTGTTGTCAAAAACCGACCGCGTTACCACCGCTAATAGATGCGGCTTTCAAATTTGAAATCAATGCCAACAGTGAGACAGTGTTTGCGAATCAAGAATCATACTGCAGTAAGATTCAGTTTCTTAATCTGGTCTTTACAAGTTAAAGGAAATCTTTGGACAATTAATATTTCACCACAGTACAACATATGAGTGCTGCCGTTAAAATAGTATCTCACATAATCCAGTGAGTGACGGGGGTGAACAGGTGTACTGGGAAAGCTACAGGATGTGTTTAACCCTTAATTCATTTTGAGCAAAGTGGTTGAATCAATGATTGTCATTGTCTCTTTATGTGAAAGTAATAAACATTTAAAGTGCGACATGTAAAACAACTTTCCCACTGGTTGACATTTGGTAGGAAATCAAATTTTCAATTTCTCAGTCAGTCTAAGAATGATGATCTATGCCTAAATAAGGTGATAGCACTCCACTGACCAGTAAATGAATAACTTGTGCCTACCCATGACCATGAAACAGGCCTGTGGTGTCAAATTATAAATGACTATAGCCGGTGCATCCTCAATCCTTCTACTCTTATTATGGACAATCTACCAACAAAGCTAAAGATCTATAATTTTACAGAGCAAAAAAAAAAAAAAAGACCATATAATATTGTCACATCCCTGGATCTGTTTTGTTGTGTTTTCTGTCCCCATGTGTTCCCCGTGACCCAGTTTCTCCCTTGTTTGATTGTGCTCATTTGGTTCAGGTGTGTCTCGTCAATTACCCTTGTTTACCCAGCCATTTTCTGGTAAGATATCTGTACTTTTACTTGAGTATGGCTCCTCCACCGCTGTCGTCTGGCAGCCCCTCTGCTCACCCTCAGCCCTCCATCTGTGCGCTGGGATTCCTCACAGTAGTAACTGTGACAAATATACATCCCTTCAATGCATTTTCCAAACTGCTTGTCCTATGTAGGGTCACAGAGATGCCGGACACAGAGTATCCCAGCATCATGGGCTTTAGGCAGGGAAACACCCTGGATGGATGGCCAGTCCATCACAGGGCAACATATAACTTGATAAATAATAGGGCTGGGACGATACGCTAATCTGCCGATTCAATACTATCCCGATACTTGTGTGCCGATTCAATATATATTGCGATAATTGATAATATTCTAAACGGTGACTTCAACTTCTACCCCAGCCATTTTCTGGTAAGATATCTGTACTTTTACTTGAGTATGGCTTTCAGGTACTTTATACACCACTGACTGTTTCTGGACATCGCTTATCACACCACTTGTATACTATCCCGATACTTGTGTGCCGATTCAATATATATTGCGATAATTGAGTATTGCGCTTATATAACTATTGCGATTCGATATTACATATTGTGATTTTTGTTTGCTTATTAAAGACTAGACAATGGAAAATACTTGATTATACCCATAAAAGAGACTGTATATGATGAGTCATATTAACTAAAACAATGCATCACATCTTTCTGAACTTTTATTTCAGGAGCATACACATACACAGTGTATATTTCCAGATCCCAGCCCACCATCACCCCGCTGCACGGAGCCCAAGCCCGAGCCCACCGCTGACACCGAGCCCCTTAGAGAAAAGCCCCGCCCACTGCACCACCGCTGAGGGTGAGCGTCCCCTGGACTCTGGGGACCAAACAGTCTGGGAGGCAGATATTTATGCGGACATGCCCATTCTCCTCCCACCTTCCTCGGACTTACCAGTCTACCCTGAACTGTCTACCAGCCCTGTCGTTCCCCTGTCTGACGCACTCCCGATGCTGAGAGTCGCGATTTGGTGTGTGTGTAACCATGAAACTTTCAAGTACCAAAACCCTGAACTTGCACATGAATATAATAGTCAAATGTTCAACAAAATGAGTAAAATAAAGTGCTGTTACTTTGCATACCGTTTTAGTCATGTTTAGTTTTATGTGCTTTAGGTGCTGCTCCAAGTCGCACACGCCTATACATTTCGCCCTCTGTTGGAATTAAAAAAGCGCTAACTTCTCCCAACCACCTCTTAGGAAAAGTAAAATAATTAAATATAAATCGATTCTGAGGTAAACCAATCGATTTTTAAATCGTTTTAAAAAGAATCGCGATAGTTAGGTGAATCGATTTTTTCTCCCAGCCCAAATAAATAACTGTTTTCTTTATGCAAAGTATAAATTATTTATTTTTTGCCATTATTTTTTATATGAATGTGACCTGGGCAGGTGGTCTTGAGAGATTTTGTGACCCCATTATCGTTAAACGTCATAACAGGCCGGTTTGATTATGAATGTTAAGTGACAATCTGGAGCTCAGTGGCTGATCAGCTGTTCAAATTAATTTCACAGAATCTTTTTATAGACTGGAGGGTCTTGAAAGGGAATATACGCTTACTTAGTTGCTTCTAAGAGCTCACAAAAGATTGGAGTAGGCACTCTTCTCATTTGTTTGGATATCAGACAGCAAAGTATGAGTACAAACATACTATGAGTACAAAATATAAATATTTATCTGGTATATTGTAAAGGTCAGAAGGGACCCTATCATAATAAAAAAAGTACCTCCACTTGTCGTTATTTAACAAAAGGTGGGTGAATGGAGGTTCTTACCCGTTTGAAAATGCTGCTAATTCATCTGCAGTTTTCTATTTAATTATTTTTTTCTATTTTATACTATTTTATATGAAGTTTGCAATATTTGTCTAAAGATATCTTAAAACCCCAAATTAGCTTGATTTGGTTCTATAACAAACAGAGCAATGTTGAATCAACCTCTGTAGAACCAATATATTTGACTCTGCATCAGTGCTATTATTACTACTTAAAACTAAAACTACAAAAATGTGTTAATTTAAATAAATTAAATGTTAAAAGAAATAATATAGAATATAAAAAAAACGTAAAAATAGGATATAAAAAAACAAAAATTAAAAATTAAATTTCACTTAAGTTAAAGTACTAAAACTACTGAATGAAAATAACTAAACTAAAACTGAAATAAAAATCAACGAAAACAAGACATATTTTAGAAAACAAAAACTAATAAAAATGACTGCAGCAAAAAATTACAACTTTCAAACTAAAAGGAAAACTAAAAATTTAAAACTAAAAAGTAATATTCATAAAAATATTTGTCAATACTAAAACAGTACAGTAATGTCACTAAAATAACATTGCTCTGCATCTTAAAAAAGTATTTAAACCCAGAAAAAAGATTTTCCTGCACCTGTGCAATGGTGCGGTCAGGACACCAGCTTCGTATCAGCAGCAGTTTGCGGAATGCATCCAGTTGGCTCTCATAACCATCAGGAAGAGGAGTCTCCTCTGGAGTGCCTTCATCAAACCAGCTCTTCCAGGCACGGTCATTGCGGGCCACCTGGGTTAGGAGAGCAGTGAAGGGAGGCAGGCTGGACAACTGCACTAAGTTTAGCCACGTTGTGTCCAGTATCCAGCGCCTTGGCTTGGGCTCGACAGAGTTTAGGTCTAGAGATGCTCCGCCTGAAAAAAGGTTAAAAAATAAAATAAAATTACTTGGCCTGAAATAAGTTCTTAAATGGACTGTATTACAGGGAATTGTGGGGGATATCAAGACGTATTGAATGGTCATCAATTGTAGCTTCTGTGTGCTGTTATCTGATTAAATTGAAGCTAAATGCTGTTCAAATGAATTGATATTGAGATAATCAGCAAACTGAAAGTACACAACATTATCTGCAAAACATTATGGATCAAACCTTTGATGAAGGTCTGAAACTCGCTATGGGAAACGTTTTTGGCCAGTAAGTCTATTTTCAACGTTAGAAGCAGTGTAAAGAGGAACTTGTGATCTTCATAAAGTCCCCGAGCAGTATAGCGGAAGACTTCAAATGTGAGGTACTCCATGATGTTGTCTAGTCTTTTAGCTGTAACGGGGGACTTTGGCGACTTCTCCATCGACATGTCAAAGATGCCCAAAAACTGGCGTAGTGAAGTTTGGTACATCACATTGACCAGGCTCATCTCCACAATCAGGAAGTAGAGGATGCTCCCCCTGGTGGCCACTGGACGGTACTCTTCTCGAGTGTGGTTGATGTTAATTTCAGTCTCTGCAGCAACTGCTAGCTTTTGACTTACCTAGGGGATGGCAGGAGATTTTAGCTATCAAAACACAATTGTAAGTCAGTTTTATAAATCAGCTTAAAAGTACATGGCTACAATTGAAGAAAGTACCTCCTGTGCTATAGTCTTGGTGACTCCGAGCACCTCGATAAGAGACTCATCCTCCACTAGAGAGCCCTGAATGCTGGTTAACTTGTACAGAAGATTGCTCTCCAAATCCTGCATCTTCCTCTTGTTCGATGTCACTTCCTCCAAGAGCTTCACACGTTCAGCCTCCATTTCCTTGATTGGAAAATAATTGATTAAATCAATATTACATCTAAAAGCTACATTATTGATTGATTGATTGCACATTTTTGTTGTTATCTCAGTGTACTGGAAGCTTCTGTCACCAGAACAAATTCAAACATAAATGCAAACATACTAGGCAATAAAACTCTTTCTGACTTCTGACTTCAATATCTAGTTAATTTATTTAGATTTAAAACCTGTATATCAGACCAGTGTTATTATAGTTACCTAAAACTAAAGCTAAAATTAAAACTATTAAAAAACATTTTTATAAACTGAAATAAAATAAGCATTAACTGACACTAGGGATGCTCCGATCAGGATTTTTGCAGCCGATACAGAGTACCGATTTCTTGTCATGGTGATCGGCCGATACCGATGCCGATTCTGATGCTTCAAGCTTTATATAGACGGTTTGGTTACAATGGGCGCACACGCCTGGCCCGAAGTTAACTTCCGGTCTGTGTTTGTTTATCAGTCTGGCTATGGCACCGGCTACAAACGCAGTTAAAGTTAAGGTGATGAGTAGACTGAAGTTGGGCTCAGGTGGTTGTGCTGTGGGATGTGTTTCCCATACATTTATTTATTTGTGGCGCTCGGCACAATATCAAAACTGACCGATTTTCCAAAAGGCTTCTTTGAATAAACATGAGCACGTACTGCACGTTTAAAAATCAAAACGAGGTGCGGGTGTTTTTATATCACTGTATTTCTGAAGGAAGACTATCTTTAGAAAATTTTCGATGTCATTTTCATTTCATCTTGCATGTTATATGCCTGATAAAGCAGCGTTTGTGAGCTCAGCGCTGCTTTGTGTACAGCTGTTACAGTGGAAACCTCTGTTTTTGTTCCGTCCTCCACGCTGTCACAACTCACAAAAGACTATTTTTAACCAAGCAGCGCAGAGAGCGGCTTCAGAAACATGCCGCGGCTGGCTGATAAACACAAGCACTGACTAGAGCAGCCACGATCAGCTCAGGTGGAATCTGCTGTTAACAATGAACCATCTATTCATCATATCATCATGCAAAACAACACACGACAAACAGTGAATTTTTCATTGTTTCTCGAAACGTCATAGCATTTCCACACCGGCGATGACATGACTGCGGCGCCAAATCATTCATGTCCCCACGCATCATGTACGTCGTCACGCGTTGACGTCATCAAATTGCGATCGGTTCCTGAGATCGGCCAAGTTGGTGAGTACCGATCGAGTCATAAAATATGATTATCAGCTGATACCGATCTCCGGCCGATCGATCGGAGCATCCCTAACTGACACTGATACACACACACACACACACACACACACACATATATATATATATATATATAAATACTACAAATAGTATACATCAGGCGT